GAGGGCAAAGTAAGTTGATTAAACAAGCAAATACAAAGGTTTATATAAGAGTACAAGGAATACGAATAGATAAGTTTAAATAGTTTTACTGTTGCGATTCGATACAGTGCGACTCGGGCAACTGCTCAATGTCGAGTCAGCTGTGTGTCCTTGCTGTCGCGCTGTATTTGTCAAGTCAAAGGTCGCTGACCTTTGACCTTCGCGTAACCTCCAGGCGGTTACCCTAACCTCCGAGGGTTGACTCGCGATGCTTCGATTTGGACTGCTTCGCTAGTGTCCTGAGTTTCGACACGACAGAGGCGCTTAAGACTTATTATTCCCAACACTAGACACCCTGGAAAATCAGTTTTTTTTTTACCAACTCCACTGACCACTCAGCCATGAATCTATCTCAACAATTATAAGACAACTGTCGGTGTGTACAAGTTAAGCCAGTGTAGGGATTAGGGGCAATCTTATGACTAGAGGGTATCTTCTAAACGGTTTTTTGTCCATTTATAAGAATTATAAGACACCCTAAACCGTCCCAATTACAAGACACAGCAAGCTTTTTTTCTTATGTATAAGATAAGACATATATGTCTTCTATCCGGGCGATGACGGTATCCTAATTTCTAGTGTAAAAGATGAGACAGACATATACGCCTTATATCCGGGCAATGACGGTAACGTCAGCCGCATTCAGCGACTGCTTACTAGCAAAGCGCTGCATGCATTAAGAAAAGCCCATAGCGAGGCAGCGATCACTGTAGGTTGCCAATTACTGCCTTGGTGAAGTCGGAGGTGCCCGAGGAGCCACCCAGGTCGCGCGTGAGGAAGCGGCCGGCTTCAATGGTGGCCATGACGGCGGCGTCTATGCGGTCGGCATGCGCACCCAGCCCCATGTGGCGCAGCATCATCACCGCACTCAGCAGCAGCGCCGTCGGGTTCGCCAGGTTCTGCCATGTGCCGGCGCGAGGGGAGGGCGGGTGAGGATTGTTGAGAGGGTGAGGGGAGGGGAGGGGTTGGAAGGAAATCGTTTGGGGAGTGGAGGGAAGGGAGGGGGTGGGAGAGGGGATCATTGGGAGGGTGAGGAGAGGGGATCATTGGGAGGGTGAGGAGAGGGGATCATTGGGAGGGTGAGGAGAAGGGATCATTGGGAGGGTGAGGAGAGGGGAGGAAGGGGCCAGATAAGCGAGAGAGGAAGAAGAGTCCTTGGGGCCGGAAGATAGGGAAGGTGTGCTTTCCATTCAAAGCTACAACCACCGCCAGATTCCACTCACTTGACACTCTCCCACTCACTTGACACTCTCCCACTCACTTGACACTCTCCCACTCACTTGACACTCTCCCACTCACTTGACACTCTCCCACTCACTTGACACTCTCCCACTCACTTGACACTCTCCCACTCACTTGACACTCTCCCACTCACTTGACACTCTCCCACTCACTTGACACTCTCCCACTCACTTGACACTCTCCCACTCACTTGACACTCTCCCACTCACTTGACACTCTCCCACTCACTTGACACTCTCCCACTCACTTGACACTCTCCCACTCACTTGACACTCTCCCACTCACTTGACACTCATCTTGCCCCGGCCATCCATCCTTGTGCCCACCTCACCTTGCCAGCGATGTCAGGCGCGGTGCCATGAACGGCCTCCATGAGAGCAAGCCCGTCGCGGCCGATGTTGCCCGAGGGCGTGAGGCCCAGCCCGCCGATGAGCCCCGCGGCCAGGTCGCTCACGATGTCGCCGTACAGGTTGGGCATCACCAGCACGTCAAAGTCGCGCGGCTCCCGCACCAGCTGCGCCCATTTTGGAAGGGGGGGGGGGGGGGGGGGGGGTTGGGGGAGAAGGGGGATCGGGGAGGGCGGAAAAGGGGGTGGAGAGGGTGTGCGGGGAGACAGGCTGGGCATCACCAGCACATCACTGTCCCGCGGCTCCCGCACCAGCTGCGCCCATTGGGGGGACGAGAGGGGGATGGGGGAGAGGAGGCGGGGGGGGGTTGGCAGACTAAGGATGTGCTGCTGCAGGTGGGGTTGGAGGGGGCGGAGAGGAGGTCGAGGGAATCGATGGATGTGGAGTGGAGTGGCATACACGGTGGTCACGCAGAGCCCTGTGTGCCATGCACCACACTATGTGAATCTGAAACCACCGTTGTACCAGCGCACATGCGGCCAGCATGCGGCATGCAGGCAGCACAGCAACGCCACCACCATGCACGGTACAACCATCATCGCACCATGATTGCACCATCACTCGACCATCATAAATACCAGCAGCACCCCAGCATCATGGCAGCAGCAGCATCCAACCGAGCATGCACCCTCAGCGCACATCCTGGGTGGGCGCACTGACCATCATGCAGGCGTTGTCGATGATGAGCTCCTCGTACTGCACATCGGGGTACTGCTCCGCCACCTCCCTGCAGCACTGCCGCGCCGTATGCCCCATGCCCCGTGCCCCATGCCCGCACACCAAGAGGGGAGGAGAGTGGGAAATGAAGGTGATTGGTTGGCGTTTGTGAGAGAAAGTGCGTGATGGAATTTGATAGGGAGAGAGAGCGCTTGTGATAAGAGTGGTGAGGGAAGCAGGGGAGGAATAGCAGTTACATGGTTGGGGAATGGCAGGTGCAAGGGGGGAATGGCAGGGGAAGCGGGATAAGTGGTGCAAGGGGAGGGAAATGGGATGTGAAGGGGCCGACTCACCTGCAGGAAGAGCCCGTCGCTCTTCTTCATGATGTTGGCCTTGTGGATGGCGGTGACGCGCTGCCTGTTGTGCTCGCGCGCGTACTTGAAGGCGTACTCCGCCACGCGCATGCTGCCCGCGCGCGTTATCACCTTGAGCGACTCCACCACGCCCTTCACCACCTGCGCGCGTAAGGGCCAAGGGGGGGGGAAGGGGAGGGAAGGGATGGGGGAGGGTGGGAGCGGGTAGGGTGGGGAGGGGTATGTCAGTAGGGAGTGCAATGGTGTGGCAGTAACGACTCCACCACGCCCCTCACCACCTGCCCGCGCAGAGAGGCGAATGGTGGGGGGGGGGGAGGGGTGGGGAGGGGTGGGGTGGGGTGGGTGTGTCAGGCAGCTACAGCAAGGGAGTGAGTCACCTGTCAGCAGCACCCTTGCACCAACCCACGTCCCTTCCCTCCCCACGTCCCGTCCACTACCCGCTGTGCCTATGCGCCCAATCCTCGTCCTTCGACTCCTCCTCTCCGCACCTCACCCGCTACCCCACCACCGCCCACATTGTCTTGTGGCATTCCACCCGCCTCAGCCCTCGCCCGCTCGCCTCTCCCATTTTCCCCACCTTCTTTTCCTTCAGCCCCATCCCTTCCTGCCAGCCCCCCCCCCCTCCTCCCCCATCCCCCCCATCCGCTCACCGTGTGTTCCAGCCCGCTGTACTCCCCCTCCGTGTTTTCGCGAATGGTAACCAGGTCCACGTCGTCGTACCGCGTGCGGTAACCAGGAATGCTCTTGCACGGCCGCACGTTCGCGAACAACCCCAGCTCCTTGCGCAGGGTGAGGTTGAGCGACCGGAAGCCCTTCCCGATGGGCGTCGTCATGGGGCCCTTGAGCCCCACGCCGTTGCGCCGCACCGACTCCAGGGATTCGAGGGTCACGAAGCTGTTCGTGCGCGGGTCGACGGTCGTGCCGATCGCCTGCTCCTCCCACTCCACCGGCACTCCCGCCGCCGCAAACACCTGCCGGGCGCGCCGACGGCCGGGGGAGGCAGGAGGGGAAGGGGCCGAGGAGAAGGGGAGGATAAGGGTGAGAGAGGGCAAGGGACGGGGAGTTCGCGGAGGGGGTTGGCAGAAAAAGAGCGCGTTGGGATCTCTGCGCGCGCCGAACCTGCTTGACGGCCACCGCGATTTCCGGGCCGATGCCGTCGCCTGGGAAGAGCGTCACGACGCGCTTCTCCTCCTCCGAGCTTGCCGCCGCCGCCGACGACATGCCGCGCCGCCACGCGCCCCGCGCCCACTCGGCCGACGCCGCGCCCCCTTGTGCCGGGCTCGCCGGGCTGTGCGCGCCCGATCCGACGGGCGCCGCGCCGTCGATCGCGGGCGCGAGCGAGCTCATGGCTCGCGATAGCGAGGCTGCGACGCCAGGCGACCCGTTGACGAGTCGCGCGACGCGCTTGAGGGCGACTGAAGCCATGGCGGCGATTGGTGGGCGAGAGGCTAACGTGGATCTACAGGCGAAGCGCTGGGGGATGAGATCGATCGAAGCGACGCGAATCGGTGCCGAAACGACGCGTCGATCGCAGCGGAACGGACGGTCGAAATTTGACGGATTGCGTCGACGGAGACGGAATGGCGAGACGCGGATCGATGGATGGTCGGATGGAAGCAAATGAGGGTATTTCAGAGCGGGCGGACGCGCAACGGCGGAGCGAGGCACGATGCGGGTGGAGCTAGCCTTGCGGGAAAAGCGGCGAGCGAGGAGGAACGGAAAGGCGCGAGTGGGGCGTGGCTCGGATCTACTTACGTACTCGCTCTGCTTGAAGCACTTATTAGTTGCCTTTACCCAGTTGCTGGATTGGTCCTTCCTCCCTAGCCCCTTGGTGTTCCGCGCGCGCACACTCCGCCCAGACCCGATTGCGCAGCAGAGCAGAGCACTCACAGAGACCGCGCCGTGCGAAATGAAGGCGGTCGTGTGCGACCAACGGGGGACACGTGGTCAGGAAAGTGAATGACGATTCGCCCTTGCGTTGCGCCTCAACTTCTACTGACGAATGGGCGACGGCGTAGGGAAGTGTCTCGTGACGTGGACACTGAACGCGTTACATAGCAGTCCGTAATCCGTATGTCTAGGTGTTTTGTGGAGCTTAATTCTGCTATGATTCACACTAGACTACATGTGGGTGGATGAATCTTCTGAAACTTTGGTGAGCAAACGTTGGCATGCAACCATGGACTTCAATGAATACGTATACACTGAATAACCCAGGAGATTCTTGAACACAAACACGTGAGTGATTTCTTGAAATACGGTAAATTGCTTGTCCTCTCCTTCATATCGGCTTCACTGCCTTGCTCTTCCATACCTGCTGCCACGCTGCTGCCACACAGAAACACCAGTTGTGAAGAAGCCAAGACGCATATTGCATGCAATGCAACAAATTTCAATAAGTGAATATGGGTGAATGTGAGTGAGTGGTAAGTATCAACGAGCATCACTTGCAGCACATGTGAGCACGTGGTGGTGAAAGTGTGCAGCACATACAATCGCTGGTCACACGGTGCATCCTCCACACTCACTTGCGAGGGTGTGAAGCTGAAGCCACCCGTGACTCCTCCCACACCCCTTCTCGCTCGCTTTGCCCGTGCCCTCTGCTCCTCCTCGTCCTCTTCGTCTTCCTCTTCCTCCTCCTCCTCATCATCCTCCTCCTCTATGCCACCACGCCTCACATGCTCCTCCTCATCACTCTCCTCCCCGTCACTCTGCATGCTCACTCCTGCTGTACCAACGCCTGACACACCCAAACTGCTCCACCCACCAACCACTGCTCTTCCCCTCCCCCTTCCCCTCCCTACACCCCCTGCTGCTGCAGCTGCTGCCCCTCTGCCCCGTCCCCTTCCCCGCCCCTCCCGCTGACTCATGGGGGAGGCAGCAGTGGCGGAGCGCCGCTGGGAGGCTGCTCGCGCTGCTGATGCCTGGGGCAGCATGGAGTGGGGGAAGGGGTGGCACGGGGGAAGAAGCAGAGAGCGCGCACACAAGGAGTTATGGACTTGGGGAAACAGGCTGCAAAAGAAGAGAGCACAGAAGGTGAGGAGTGGAAGGAGAGGGAGAGCTTAAACAGAAAAACTATCAAGTCAAGGCGCACTGACCCTGGAGCCCAGGCCCACTTCCTCCACGTCCTCATCGTCCACACCACGTGCTGCCGCCATGCCACCAGCCCCACGTGGCGCTGCCATCATGCCCTGACCGTTTTGAGCAGGCAGGTCGTCGTCCTCGATCTCCTCCTCCTCCATCGCCACCTTGGTGCTGCCCACACTCGCTGCTGCCCTCCCACCTGCTGGCGTGGCTGCTGCTGCTGGCCTGCACACACGGCAGCAGAGGCAGGGACGCACATGGGTGGGCAGAGGCGGGCTCACATGCTGCCATGCACAGCATACATTCTTCTTTGCATTGTACGCACGAGCATTGGGATACCAGGCATGGGGATGCACATCAACAACCCATGCCGTGCCTCCCTCCCATCGCACCTGCCTCGCAGCCCCATGCTCTCAAACGTCGCCTGCTTCATTCCCCTTCCCCCTGCTCCCCCACTGCTGCTGGCCCCCCTACCCCTCCCCCCCCCCCCCTCGCCCCCCTCTTAATGGCACCCCATCACCAGCCGCCGCTTTCGCACTGCCTCTCCCTCTCCCCCTACCTCCCCGCCCCCTTCCCCCTCTACCCTTGCTTCCCTGCTCCCATTCGTCCGCCTCCCACTCATCCCCCTCGTCCCCCCCCTCCCTCTCTTCCCCCTGCTTGGGCGCGTCCATGCTGCCACGCTGCAGTGTAGAGGCAGGCGAAAGGGTGGGGGAGGGGCGCGGGGGGGATATATGAAGGGCGGAGAAGGTGGGGAGTGGGGGGGCCGGGGAGGTGGGGAGATTGCATGGAGCACAGCGTGGCATGGCATGGAGCACAGCGTGGCATGGCATGGAGCACAGCGTGGCATGGCATGGGATGGGATGGGATGGAGTTTGCAGATTGAAAGGGCCAGGGATAGGGCATGGATTGCACAGATGACAATTCCAAGGCATGCGACCAGAGGCACATGCCATGCCACGTGCTGCGAGTTGAACCAACATCCTGCACCCACTCGCTCGCTCGCCTGCTCCATGCATGAGCCCCTCACTCGCTCAACTGTACTCACATCGGGCATCGGCTGCGCTGCTCCTGCATCGCCAGCGCCATCGCCAGGCGCCGCCGCACCACCGCGCTTCTCCATGGCCTGCCCGGAGCACACAGCGCAGGCAGAGCAGCGTGGGGGCTTGAGGGCCGGAAAGGCGGATGCTTGGAGGAGCAGTGGGTGGGATGGCAGCAGGTGAAGGCAAGGCAAAGGGGTGCGTGCTTCATGGTTCCCTTCCCTGCAGCAAGCACCACAAATAGCCAGGAGCAAGCAAGCAAGCAAGCATCGTGTGCAACAGGTATCCCTCCCCCACCTGCAGCACGCACTGCTCCACGAGTCGCAAGATGTCCTCATCGTCCCTCAAACCCGCCCCTTCCTGCTCCTTCACCAGCCACGCCTGCACAGGATGAAGTGAAGGACCGCCGTGCCGAGATGGCAGGGGCGTGGCGGACAGGGGGGGTGTGGATGAGAAAGCGACAAAGCGAAAGAATGCGAGAGAGATGGAGTGACATAGTTAGAGGTGGTAGGCAGAGAGGAGGGAGGGGGAGAGTAGGGGGGGAGGAGAGGAGGGGGGGAGGAGAGGAGGGATATCCATGGGAAAAGGCGGCGATGGGGAGGAACGCAAGAGAGGGGCGTGAGAGAAGAGAGGCATGTGTGGGTGGAGGCATGTGTGGGTGGAGGCATGTGTGGGTGGAGGCGTGTGTGGGTGGAGGCAGGCAGCAGATGGTTGGTCTGCGTGTGAGAGACGGCTGACTGACCTGGGTGTCGGAGAGGGCTGACTGACCTGGGTGTCGGAGAGGGCTGACTGACCTGGGTGTCGGAGAGGGCTGACCCATATGTGGTTGTGAGTGAAGGCTGACCTGGGTGTCGGAGAGCGAGGAGGATAGGAAGGAGGAGAAGGCGTGCTTCTCATCGCGCCCCACAAACCCATGCAGCGCCTCCGCCAGCCCCCCCAGCGACAGCACCTCCAGTTTCTTTGAGGGGGAAGGCGGGAGAGGGAAGGGGGGAAGGTGCGCCGGGAGAGAAGAGGGAGGAGAGGTGAGAGATGGAGGTGGGGTGAGGAGGGGGAGAGGATGGAGGGGGAGAGGATGGAGGGGGAGAGGATGGAGGGGGAGAGGATGGAGCGGGAGAGGAGTGGAGCGATGGAAGATGGAGAGGGGCACATGAGCAGATGGAGAGGGGCACATGAGCAGATGGAGGAGGGAGGCGGATGCGGACAGCAGGGCCATCCATGCTGCCCTCCAATCACCACCACCACGTGGCCTATCAACCACCACGTGGCCTATCAACCACCACGTGGCCTATCAACCACCACGTGGCCTATCAACCACCACGTGGCCTATCACCCACCACGTTGCTATCTCGCAGCAGCTGCTCGATGTTGCTCGGATTCAACTCGTCCTGCTGCACCACACTTGATGGAGAAAGCCCCACCCCACCATCACCACCCACCATCACCCATCAGCACCCACCACGTTGCTATCCCTGAGCAGCTGCTCGATGTTGCTCTGATTGAGCTCGTCCGGCTGCACCACCCTCTCCTCGCCCACCTCCACAACGGCTGAGGGTACAAGCGCAGCAGGCAGGCACAACGGGAGCACCAAGGATGAGGTGTTAGGAGTGGGAGCACGTGCAGTGCAGGTGCACAAGGTTTCTCTGCCAGCGGGTACTTCCCCTTGCTCCCACCCCCCGCCACTGCCCACCCGCCACCCTCAGCCCCGCCATGCTCTGCCCTCCGCCACTCCCCCAGCAGCACCATGCAAGCAGCACCATGCAAGCAGCACCATGCAAGCAGCACCATGCAAGCAGCACTCACTGGTGGAGGGCTTCCTGGTGGGCGCCTTGAAGAACATGAGCATGTCGTGAGGGTTCGCCACCTGCATACATGCACGCACATGTGCACCGCATAGATGGATGCGTGAATGTGTCACGCGCACATGCACACATGCACACATGCCCACGTGCACACGTGCACACATGCACTCATACACACACGCCATACACCACACCATCCCAACGCAACACAGGGTACAAGACAAGACAATACAGCCGTTCTACACGAACACAGTCCTCAGCCCATCCCATGCAATTATCACTCCCCACCCCACCACATTGCCCCCCACCATGCCGTGCCACACCATACCCCCACCTTGCCTTGCCCCACCGCGCCACACCGCGCCCCACTGTGCCCCATGCGCCATGCGCCATGCACCTGCACCCACCTTGCCCACAAACTGTTGCCCAAAGCGCTGCGAGTTGATGGTGGAGAAGCCCGAGTAGTCCACCTGGGGGGGAGAGGTGGAAGGGGGGAGGGGGGAGGGTGGAGGGTGGAGGGGGTGGGTGGAGGGGGGAGGGTGGAGGGTGGAGGGCGGAGGGGGTGGGTGGAGGGGGGAGGGTGGAGGGTGGAGAAAGGGGGAAATGGGAGAAGGGCGGAGGAGAGTGGCAAAAGAGGGAGGGGAAACGGAGGCGGTCAGGGAGCAGGAGGTGGAGGGGTCAGGGAAGGATGAAGGCGATGGTCGTTGTACAAAGCACGCTGCACAACTTGCCCTCGCCTCGCCTTCACGTTGCTTCCACACAAAAGAGCAATTCTTGCACTCGCCTATACCAAGAGTGACTCACGCGAATGCGTATGAGCGGCAGCGGCACCGGAACCTCCCTGCTCCCCTCTCTGCCGCCCCCATCCAGCAGCCCCTCTGGCAGCTGTGCTGCTCGCCTCGCCCTGTAGCTGCTCTCTGCCTTGGCTATCATGCGCTGCACCTGAGGGGGGGGAGGTATGCATGGGGAGGCACGCATGGGGAGGCACGCATGGGGAGGCACGCATGGGGAGGCACGCATGGGGAGGCACGCATGGGGAGGCACGCATGGGGAGGCACGCATGGGGAGGCACGCATGGGGAGGCACGCATGGGGAGGCACGCATGGGGAGGCACACATGGGGAGGCACGCATGGGGCATGGGAGGAGAGGTGAGAGGGGGGGAATGTGTCACGAGCGCAAGCAGCGATCAAATCAGCCCTGCCACCGTCTCACCCCGCCCCCCTGCCAGCGATCAAATCAGCCCCCCTGCTCTGCGCTGCACAGTGCTCGCCTCTCCCTGAAGCTGCGCTCCGCCTGTGCTATCATGCGCTCCGCCTGTGCTATCATGCGCTCCGCCTGTGCTATCATGCGCTCCGCCTGTGCTATCATGCGCTCCGCCTGTGCTATCATGCGCTCCGCCTGTGCTATCATGCGCTCCGCCTGTGCTATCATGCGCTCCGCCTGTGCTATCATGCGCTCCGCCTGTGCTATCATGCGCTCCGCCTGTGCTATCATGCGCTCCGCCTGTGCTATCATGCGCTCCGCCTGTGCTATCATACGCTCCGCCTGTGCTATCATGCGCTCCGCCTGTGCTATCATGCGCTCCGCCTGTGCTATCATACGCTCCGCCTGTGCTATCATGCGCTCCGCCTGTGCTATCATGCGCTCCGCCTGTGCTATCATGCGCTCCGCCTGTGCTATCATGCGCTCCGCCTGTGCTATCATGCGCTACACAGGGGGGGAGGGACACGGATGTTTTTAGAATTCTCAAATATCATGAGCTGAGGGGCACACGGGATGGATGGAGCAGGCCAGGGAGTGGACACGCATGGGGAGGGATGGGGCACAGCAGGAGGGGAGAGGAGGTGCAAGAGCCTCACACAAGCGCAGCACTGCTCGACCTTTGAAACATCTCAATCCGCTCAAGCCAATCCGTGCACGTCAGACTAACCCCTGTACTCCCCTCCGACTCCGACGGCAGTCACACTTCCCCCTCCCTCTCTCCTCACACTGTGGCAACAGTCCCCTTCCCTCCCCCACTCCCCGCTTCTCACTGTGGCGGCAGTCAGGCTCTTCTCCACCTTCCCTCCGCCCTTTCAACTCACAGTGGCGGAGAGGAAGAGAGCCAGCTCCTCGGGGTCCCTGGCGCCACCTGGTCACACTCCCCCCCACCCCCTTCCCTTCCCTTCCCCCTCCCTGGTCTCACGGTGGCGGAGAGGAAGGCCGCCAGCTCCTCCGGGTCCCTGGCGTTCACGCCCTGCGCGTCCCTCAATGACACCTGGCGCACGAGGGGAGGGAAGAAAGACGAGGGCAGAGGAGGATCAAGGAAGGCAATGACAGGCAAGGAAGAGCGGGGAAGGGGAAAGGGGAGAGGAAGAGCGCCAGCTCCTGCGGGTCCCTGGCGTTCACTCCCTGCGCATCCCTCAACGACGCCTGGCGCCATGCTATGGTGCGAGCGGCATGGGTTGGACTCACCTCGGCATATTCGAACGGGCGTGGAGTGGTCAGGGCGATGTTTTGTGTCTCAAACTGGTTTCCCTGGCGGCACGGCGGCATGGCGGCATCACGGTCAATGCATAGTTGCATGGTGGCATGGCATGTGTGGGGAAGGAGGAGAGGGGGGGGAGAGGGAAGAGTGGGAGAAAACAAGGAGGGCAGGGAGGAGAGTGGGAATGGTAAGGGTGAGAGGCAGAAGAGGAATAACGCGGGGATGAGGCATGGGGCACATCTCCAGCTCTAACTTGCACGCGAATGGGATGGGATGTGCGCAGGAGGGAAGTCGTGCACAAGGAGGATCAAGCCTGCCACCACACCCAGTTGCTTGCACCTCAACTCACTGCACCCAGATTCACCGCACCCAGATTCACCGCACCCAGATTCACCGCACCCAGATGCAATGCACCTAGATTCACAGATGCTATGCAGCGCACCTGGACGCGCAGGTGCAGCACGTGCTTGGGCTTGGCCTCGCCCTCCGCCAGCTGTGTCACCACCGACGACCCCGGCTGCGATATGAAGTACTTTGCTCGCGCCGGTTGCTGCTCGCATGGACGAATGGGAGTGGGGGGGGGGGGGGGGTGAATTGAAGGAGAGCGACTTTTGAACGACTCAGAAGGCCCTCTGGCAGATGTGTGCGCACCGACGACCTGGCTGTGCTCTGGCGTACCTCGCCCACGCTGGTTGCTGCTCGTGGGGCGGAAGGGAGGGGGGGGGAGAGAGCGTTGAGAGAAGAGGAGGGAAGGGGGAAGTAGAGGAGGTAGATAGGGAGGAGGGAGAGGAGGTAAGGAGGAGGAAGAGGAGGAAAGCAGGAGGGAGAGAGGGGGAGTGGGGGTACATGGATGGAGAGGGAGAGGGGCACAAAGGGAATGGCATGGGATGAGCGATGTGAAGGTGCGTGCTCCTTGTCACCCACGCATATCCTACGCACCACGCTCATCCTGCGCCTATGCGCGTGTAGAGCACCGCCGCACAGAAAGAGGACGCAGCGCTCCATGCACCGAGCCACTCCACCCCACGCGCCCACCCTACACCATCCCTCCCCTCCCCTCCACACCATCCCTCCCCTCCCCTCCACAGCATCCCTCCCCTCCCCTCCACACCATCCCTCCCCTCCCCTCCACAGCATCCCTCCCCTCCCCTCCACAGCATCTCTCCCCTCCCCTCCATCCCAACCATCTTTCTCCTGGCCAGCCCCCCGCCCCTCGCCCCTCGCCTGCCATGGAACCCCATGCCCTCCCACGCCCCCCCACGGACCTCCATGACAGGCCGCCCCCATGAGCCACTTCCACTTCACCTCAGGCTCGATGCGGCACTCGTGCTCGTGCCCCCACACCACCAGGTCCAGGAAGGACGCGAAGCCTGACTCGTCCACCGTCACCACCTTCTTCACATTCGTCATGCGCACCGCCCTGGGGGGTGGAGAGATGGAAGGGAAGACTTTTGAGACGCCTCAACAACCGGTCATGCGCACCACCCTGGGGGGGGGGGGAGACGGAAGGGAAGGGGAAGGGGAGAAGGGAAGGAGGGGAGAGGGGAAGTTGCTGTCGTCCACCGTCACCACCTTCTTCACATTCGTCATGCGCACTGCCTTGGGGGGATTGGGTGAGGAGGGGTGAGTGAAAGCGTGATGGAGAGGAAGGAAAGATCAGGAGACGTGGCTTGCATGGATGGTGCATGGATGGTGCATGGATGGTGCATGGATGGTGCATGGATGGTGCATGGATGGTGCATGGATGGTGCATGGATGGTGCATGGATGGTGGTGATAAAAAGTCGCACCAGTTGTGGCCGAGCAATCACAATTGCAATCACACTACCTGCTCTGTGACGATTACCTGCTCTGTTGAAATCACTTGCTCTGTTGAAATCACCTGCTATGTTGAAATCACTTGCTATGTTGAAATCACCTGCTCTGTCGAAATCACCTGCTCTGTTGAAATCACCTGCTCTGTTGAAATCACCTGTTCTGTTGAAATCACCTGCTCTGTTGAAATCACCTGCTAATCACCTGTTCTGGTGCAAGACAAGAATGTTGAACCAGTCGTCCTCACTCGTGCCCGGCTCGTCCGGTCGGATCCACTGCAGCCCCTGCGGGTTCTGTGGAGAGAGCAGGGGGAGGGGGGTGATGGGGGTGATGGGGGTGATGGGGGTGATGGGGGTGACAGGGGGTGATGGGGGTGATGGGGGTGTTGGGGGGAATGGGGGGAATGGAGGGTGATGGGGGGGAGGTGGAGGGGAGAGCCTCGTGCGGTCGGATCCACTGCAGCCCCTGCGGGTTCTGCTCTGCCTCGCCTGCAGTGCGGAGAGAGGAGGGGAAGGGGGGTGATGGTGCTCCCGCCCCTTTCCTCCACGCCCCACACCCCCACGGTCCACACATCCATGAGGCAACCCCACATCCATGAGGCAACCCAACCCCACACCCACGCGGTCCCCGCACGCCCCCTCTTCGTCCCACCAGCCGTGCCCCCCTGCCCTCTGCTTCTCCCCGCCCCTCTCACATCCATGATCATCTTGAGCCGCTCGTCCCGCATGTACCCCAGCCCGTATAGTGCAATGCGGTTGGCACCCTGGGGGGGGAGGAGTGGGGGGAGGTGGGTGGGAAAACGAGGCTCAGTTGCTTGTGAGTCGACTCACGGGTCACCTCGTCCCGCATGTACCCCAGCCCGTACAGCGCTATGCGGTTCGCGCCCTGTGAAGGGGGAAGGGGGGGCAGAGGGGGAAGTGCGGGGGAAAGGCGACTCCTGAGTCAAGTCAACAGCCACCAGTCCCGCATATACCCCAGCCCGTACATTGCTATGCGGTTCGTGCCCTGAGAGGGGGAGGGAAAGGGGGAATCCTATTGGCACGTGGCGGGTGAAGAGTGGGAGGGGATGGGTTTCCCAGCCCGTAACAGCGGCATGCGGTTACCACCCTGGGGAATGGGAGGAGAGGAAGGGGGAGAGGAGAGGAAAAGCAGGGAAAGAATATGTGGCAGGTAAGCGAGAGGGGGCGTGTGGGAGGTGGTGCCACGGGCCTTGGCATGTCACAGCAAGCCCTCCTCTCCTTGCTTCATTGCCCGCCCCACCCACCTTGCTTGCTTGGACCCTCCACCACGCACCTTGTGTGTCTCGCTCTCATCTTGCGCAGCGACACGGGGTGCAGGGTGATCTGAGCGGCATCATGCGCGGGCATGCAAGTCTTGCCAAAGTAGCTAGGTGACTTCTGAGTCGACTCAAAAGTGCCCACGCACCCCGCGCAGCAGCACGCCCCACGCACCTTGCGCAGCAGCACGGGGTGCAGGGTGATCTGCGCGGCGTCATGCTCGGGCATGTTGGACTTGCCAAAGTAGTTCACCAGATTGCATGACGAGAGGATGTCCACCGCTGATAGGTTGTCCTGGTGGGGATTCAGGAATGGGGTGCAGGCATGGAGGGAGGCATGGGGGCAGGCATGGAGGGAGGCATGGGGGCAGGCACGGAGGCGTGGTTGACTTGCCAGACTCTGGCTGAGCCAGAGTAGTACACCAGATTGCACAACGATAGAATGTCCACCGCTGACAGGTTGTCCTGCTGGTAATGGTAATGATAATGGTTATGGTAATGGTAATGGTAATGCTAATGCTAATGGTAGTGGTAATGGTAATGGTAGTTGTAATGGTAATGGTAGTGGTAATGATAATGGTAATGGTAATGGTAATGGTAGTTGTAATGGTAATGGTAATGGTAATGGTAATGGTAGTGGTAATAGTAATGGTAGTTGTAATGGTAATGGTAGTTGTAATGGTTATGGTAATGGTAGTTGTAATGGTAATGGTAGTGGTAGTTGTAATGGTAATGGTAATGGTAATGGTAGTTGTAATGGTAATGGTAGTTGTAATTGTAATGGTAATGGTAGTTGTAATGGTAATGGTAATGGTAATGGTAGTTGTAATGGTAATGACAAGGGGCCTAACAAGGCTGCATGAAACAGCCAGTCCCCTGCCTACAGGACCAGCTGCCCTGGCAGCACAGAGGGCATAGAGGAGAACACACGCATGGAGGACCAAGCAACATGACGGCAGGCCAAGGGGTAGGCGGGAGGGAGCGGTGAAGGGGTGGTGCAAGGGGCGGATACAGTGGCAGGGGCAGCAGGACATTGTTTATGTGCCACACCCAGTATCAGCCGGTTAGCAGAGATTCGCATCGCACGAGCTTACAAGACTCTGCTCATTGCGCACTCAAACTCCCCCCTTTCCCATCCACATGCCATCCGCGTCATGCGTCCATCCCATGCCATCCGCAGCAAGCACCCCTCCCACCGCCCCTCCCACCGCCCCTCCCACCGTCCCCCTCCCACCGCCCCTCCCACCGCCCCTCCCACCGCCCCTCCCACCGTCCCCCTCCCACCGCCCCTCCCACCGCCCCTCCCACCGCCCCTCCCACCGTCCCCCTCCCACCGCCCATCCCAGCGCTTCTCTCAGCGCTTCTCTCAGCGCTTCTCTCAGCGCTTCTCTCAGCGCTTCTCTCAGCGCTTCTCTCAGCGCTTCTCTCAGCGCTTCTCTCAGCGCTTCTCTCAGCGCTTCTCTCAGCGCTTCTCTCAGCGCTTCTCTCAGCGCTTCTCTCAGCGCCTCTCTCAGCGCTTCTCTCAGCGCTTCTCTCAGCGCTTTTCTCAGCGCTTCTCTCAGCACTTCTCTCAGCGGGTGCGCGTGTGTGCAGGGGATGTGATGTGACTGACGATGCCAGCGGGGTCGTCGTGGTTGCCATGCACGGTGAAGACGGGCATGCCCACGTTGTAGTGCTCGTCCTCGTAGTTCACATGCCCGAACCTGCCATGCACCACACAAAGCAAGCATGCACACATGCAGCACGACAGCATGGCAGCACGGCAGTACACGCACGCAGCACGGCAGCATGGCAGCACGGCAGTACACGCACGCAGCACGGCAGCATGGCAGCATGGCAGCACATGCACAGGGCCACACAGCATAGTGCAGCATCTGTGAGTCGCGTAGAAAGCCCACTGCAAGAGATAAGAGAGAAGCTGCAGAGCGTGAAAGAAAGAGACTGGGGTTACAACGGGTCGGAATAAAGACAAACGCAGGGAGTTGGCGGCTGGGAAGGGCATGAGGATGCACGAATAGGGGAAGTTGCAAGATTGGTCGCTCACGAGTTGGGGAAGTTGAGGGTTTGGTCGCTGACGACTTGGAAGCGAACAGGGTTGTCGCTGAGGCAGTAGCGCCGCAGAATGTCGATCGTGCGCACCAGCGTGGCGCGCGAGGGCTTGTTGTCGTGAAACAGATCCCCGCCCAGCAGCAGGAAATCCACCTGCGCGCTCCCATGCGTACATGTGAAGACACACGTGCACGTGAGCCTTCACGCAGAAACACGACTAATGAAACGACCCTTGCTGCACAATGGGAGAATACTCGTGCAGCGCCCAACTCACCTGCAGCGACTGGGCGAGCTTGCAGATCTCCTCAAAGGCAGTGAAGGAGTCGTGGCGGCGCACGTCGTCCTTCTCCATGAACCCCAGGTGGTTGTCAGTCGCCACTAGGATGCTGAACGCATCTTCACTGCGAGCATGGGGGAAGGAAGCATGGGTAAGAGCGCACAGGAGTCGTGGCGGCGCACGGGAAGCCCAGACGGTTTTCCGTCTTTTACCACCACGCTTAACGCCTCCTCGATGCGCTCCCGTACCGTCGCCCGAGGGAATTGCTCACTGGGAAGGGTGAAAGGGGGAATGGCACAACGGGGAAGGGCGCACAGGGAAAGTGCGCAACAGGGGAAGGGTGCAGGGCGGGCACGGGAGAAAAATTGACACGGTAAAAGAAATTTCGGTTACTAATCGAGTCTCCCTTCATTCCAAGTCGCCCGCCATTCCACAACTATCCTTCGGCTGGCATTCTTGGAGCATTGCCACAGGTGTGTTCGACAAATGCTTCGAAGGACCAAAACGTTGGCTCGTGTTGTTTCACTTGCCGCGACATTCAGTTACTGCTAATTCCATGAATCGTGACGTCACGGTCGATAGCCTCGTTTCAAAGCAGGCACGGATCCGCGCATCGGCGCGCTGTAGACCTGCGCGTGCGACTCACCCGGGCTGCGTTCCCTGCGACATGATGGCGGCTGATCGTCACTCGAGAAACCCTTGATTGGAACGGAAAAGGGAAAGTCCGGCAGGTGATACGCGAGAGAGCTACGGACGGAATCTCATGAAACAAGGTTGCAGAAGCGATTTTGAGTCGACCAAAGAAGCTTCGGACGGAATCTAATATGACGAGGTTGCAGCAGTGGCGGCGAATGCAGAGCACAGCGATCAACGCTGGGAGCTACTGGGGGGTGGTGGCGATTTCAGAGATGGTGAGACCTTTTCGAGCTCCTGAGGCATAGAAAACGCGGGAAGCGAGGGCGTCGCCCTGGAGTTGTCGTCACCATGAAGTTGCCGCAGCAGATTTGGGCTGTTGGGCCTGGTCCACAGATGTGTGAATTGCTTCGAATAATTGTAAGATCAGTTACTGTAGTGAGATTCATGTACAGCTGTTTTGGCTTAGAGGCGTTTCCTAAAAGAGTCTCATTTCTTCAACAAGTAGATTTTCCACATAAGCCCTAGGTGTATCCCCTCCTCTACAGTCCCGTTTTTGGCGGGAAATCTTGCATCAAGTTGTTGTCTTTCATTTCTGCCTTAAACATAATTTATTTTGTATTTTCCTGCCCGTTTGTCTTGTGACACTGATCAACGCGGCGAACCGTGCGACGAGAAGTTGAAGACAGCGTAGTCCGAATGTACATATGTGACAGAAAAACACGAATAGTCGTCACGAAGGAAAATCGCTCTTCATGCAATTTTCCTTATATGGGACTATAAGTTCCCTTTTGCCCGGGGTTTGTGAGTTTTCCACAAAGGCCCGCAGCGCGAGTGTTTTTTAAGGAGACTCTAATCAAGAACATTTGTACACAAGTGACGAGACTGACATTATTCGCAGGTCTGACTTTGTCGCAGATCGAGAGAAGCACCATGTGATTGGACATAGGCCAAATGTCTTACACGGATTCGTCACATTCAGCCGCATGTTCCTGCGGCTCCTAAAACCGCGACCCACCAACACTTAGCATCTCGCACGCAATTGCTGAGGGTTGAGTGAATTTGACGCGTAAAACCACCACCTCGAGATTGCTTGCTTGGCCATCGGATTTGTCCTGGTCGGTCATTCTGCTCAAGCGAGTATACAAAGCCTTTGATTTCGTTGTTGGAATCAGTGAATGCTCTGTCTGACTTACTAGGATCGCCTGTCTACGGACCCGATTTCTGCCAGCCGGCGTCCCGTCATTCGCTCTGCGTGTCGCCATGGCCACCAGCGCCTCCCTTCTCGCGCACCCCCTCGCCGCCTCCCTCCAATCCTCCGCCTTCCCGTCCGCATCCTCACCCTCCTTCGCCGGCAAGCCGCTGCCCGCTCCGTCTCTAATGCGCTCGTCCGCTTCCCCCGATCCCCTCCCCACACGCCCCCTCCGCTGCGAGGCCAGACCCGCGTCCACCGCCGCCGCCGCTGCCTCCGCGGCGACCGCCGCGGAGCGCGCGGCAGCGGTGGCGGCGGGGATGCCGTCAGCGGAGGAGATCATGGCGATCGAGCGCGACGTGGTGGTGCAGACGTACGGGCGCACGCCGCTCGTGGTGGCGGCGGGCGCGGGGAGCCGCCTGTACGACACGGCGGGGCGCGAATACATCGACATGGCGTCGGGCATCGCGGTGAACTCGCTGGGCCACGGCGATGCTGATTGGCTCGCCGCTGTCACGGATCAGGCCGCCACGCTGGCACACGTCAGCAATCTGTACTACACGTGGCCGATGGTGCAGCTGGCGCAGCGGTTGGTGAAGTCGTCGTTCGCAGATCGCGTGTTCTTCGTGAATTCGGGCACGGAGGCGAACGAGGCGGCGATTAAGTTCGCGAGGAAGTACCAGCTGGCGAAGAGCGGCGACGAGCATGCGACGGAGTTCGTCGCATTTGGTAACTGCTTCCACGGTCGCACGATGGGCGCGCTCGCGCTCACCTACAAGCCGCAGTTTCGCGCGCCGTTCGAGCCGCTCATGCCCGGCGTCGCGTTCGCCGATTACGGCGACCTCGAGGCGGCGGCGGCCGCCATCACCGCGGGGCGGACGGCGGCGGTGTTCGTGGAGCCGGTGCAGGGCGAAGGCGGCGTGTTCGCCGCCACCGCGGAGTTCCTGCGCGGCCTGCGCCGACTGTGCGACGAGCGCGGCGCGCTGCTGGTGTTCGACGAGGTGAGGGGGGCGGGGTGAGGTGGCGGTGCGAGAGGGCGACTCAAATGAATGGGGAGGGTGGATGGATGAGGGCGAGGGAACCTGACAAATGCGCAGTGCGGTCATCTCTGCAGCTTCATTGCGCCCGTCGCCGAGCTTTGCGCCCTCCTGTCACTCCCGCTCTGTTCTCTTGCCACCTGCGTGCCCATCTCGCCAACTGCGCGCATTCCTCATCTGCTCCCCTGTCCCTCCGTTTGCTCCTCTCACGCTTCCCCCCTCCTGTTTCCCACCCCCTGTTTCCATCCACTCCGACCCTCCCTTGTTCCCTCATCAATCCCCCCTAATTCGCGCCTCATCACCCTCTCCTGTCCACATCGCCCCTCTCCCGCCTCGCCTCCCCGCCAACTCCCCCTTCCCCCTCTCCCCCCATGCGCGCAGATCCAGTGTGGGCTGGGGCGCACGGGGCACGTGTGGGCGCACGAGGCGTATGGCGTCACGCCCGACATCATGACACTCGCCAAGCCCCTCGCAGGTACCTACTGCCATGCATGCATTCCCTGCCTCCTAAACCCCCTGGTTTTGAGGCGCCTTAAAACGAGGCGTATGGCGTCACACACACACAAACCCCTGTGCATCCTCCTTGCCCCCTGAACCTCCCTGCCTCCCTTTGCCTCTCTGCCCCACCCCATTGCCTCTCTGCCCCACTTTATTGCCTCTCTGCCCCACCCCATTGCCTCTCTGCCCCACCCCATTGCCTCTCTGCCCCACCCTCATTGCCTCTCTGCCCCACCCTCATTGCCTCTCTGCCCCACCCTCATTGCCTCTCTGCCCCACCGCATTGCCTCTCTGCCCCACCCTCATTGCCTCTCTGCCCCATCCTCATTGCCTCTCTGCCCCACCCTCATTGCCTCTCTGCCCCCACCGCCTCTCTGCGCTGCTTACTCCTAGTCGTCATGTCTCCTGTTTCTCAACTTCACTCCCCGCCCTTCCATTCTCTCATGCTCCCTTTCTCCTCCCCACTCCCCCCATCCCCCCTCCCATGGCCTGCTCCCAGGTGGGCTGCCCATAGGAGCAGTGCTGGTGACCAATCAGGTGGCGGCAGCCATGGCACCTGGCGACCACGGCAGCACCTTTGCCGGCAACCCACTCGTGTGCCGGGCGGCACTTGCCGTCCTCGATAAGATCGCCGACCCGGCCTTCCTCGCCAGTGTGGAAGCCAAGGGAGAGCTGCTTCGGCAGCTGCTTCGGGATAGGCTCGGGGGGAACCCGCATGTGAAGGAGGTTCGGGGGCGGGGGCTGATGGTGGGGGTGGAGCTGGATGTGGCGGCGGGGCCGCTGGTGGATGCGGCGAGAGGAGAGGGTGTGCTGGTGATCACAGCAGGGAAGGGCAATGTGGTGCGCCTCGTGCCGCCCCTTGTTATTACAGAGGAGGAGATTGAGATGGCAGTTGATGGCCTTGCCAAGAGCCTACCAGCCCTAGGTTGAAAACATGGTGTAATATTTAGGCATTTGCACATTGGCACTAGTCGTAATAAATTTGGAAGTTCATTATTGTATGCACGTGTAGATGATTCGCAACACATGCTTATGACGAGGTTTCGACCACACTTGACCGTTTCCAGCTGTTGTCCTCTGCTTTTCCTTTGTTTGTCCTTATCCCTTGACTGCCCAAGTCATGACCATCAGCCAATCGTGTTCGCTCCTCGACTTTTCATGTTGAACAGTCGAACAGTCGAATTTCGTGGATCAAATTTGCCCGCGTGCGATCCCTTTATCGGAGCAGCGTGGTTACGTTGGGTCCATTCAACAGCAAACTTGAATCTAAAATCGGCCCACACTTTTTCCACCAAGAAGAACCGTCGCGCTTTTCCGCCATTCGCCAGTAACTTTCCACTTGCCGACTGCCACCTGGGCGAGCTTGTCCGGTCCGCGCAGTCGTGGTGGAATCTTGCACGTCGCTGCCGCCAACTGGCGTGACTTCTGGGTCCAGTGCGGACAGGAGAGTCAAGACGAACTAACTGAATCCGTGCAATGCGATTGTGGGAATGGCAGGCAAGAGAGCAAGCATCATTTTTTGCCTATGGGTGAATCATCTCGCTCGTGAAAAGGAGTGAGGAGGATGCGAAGCAGTTCGCATTTGCTTGTTCATGTAGTAGTTTTGGCCATAGTGCGTTGCGGCGGACGAAGAGGAAAGGCTAAGGGAAGCTCAAACTGCATAGCTACTTAGCTCAAAATATCTCATTTGACCCTCCATCCATCGCGCTCTCACGCGACGTTATCGGCTCCTCTGCCGTCGATCAGTCGCGGGGGTAGACACGTGCCGGTTAATCTGACAGCGAAACAGCGCGACTGCCGAGATCGCGGCCACGTCACAAGCATGTCTCTAGCGGAGCCTTCTTGCGGGGACGTCGGCGCGCAACGGTGAGCGCCGCATTTCAAGCATGAACCACATTCTCCACGCCGCACGACCGCTACTTTGTTGTCTTGCTTTTCCGCGCAATGCGGAAAAATTCTGAGCGATCTGTGTCCCGGCTTCGCAGCGCAGTTTCCTGCGCCATTTCCGGCGATCTGGAACCAGCCTAACAGCTTGACGGTTCTCCCTGCATTCTCCCCTTTCCCCCTCCCAGCCTCCCGCAAATCAGATCCGCGCATTGCGCCCGCCCGAAAGCGCGACACGCGCGCTCGCTGTCGCACCAAATGGTCGCACCGGTGGTTCAAAACGTCGCCGGAGCCGCTGATTCGTCGCAGCCGCGTCCGGACTCAGAAAGCGAGGGTTCAACCCCTTCGCATCATCCGTCGCAGCTGTGGCAGCGGCGCAACTGGCAGCCCGCCGCGTCGCTTCAGCTCGACCCTCGCCGCCAATC